AAACCCCAAAACCCCAAAACCCCAAAACCCCAAAACCCCAAAACCCCATCAAGAATGATAATTACAAATGAAAATGATAAATCAAGCAAGAAATAATGGAAAATCCACACATAAGATATTGAATTTAATGGAAAGAGATAATCACTGTCAAAGTGATTTATAATGGAATATTGATCTTAGATTAGTGGAGAAAGCCCGTCTAGCTCAGTCGGTAGAGCGCTTGGCTCTTAACCAAGTGGTCGTGGGTTCGAGCCCCACGGTGGGCGTCCAATTTTATTTTTTGTCAGAATTTTAGTAGTTTTATATACGCATATTCTATAACTAAAATTACCCTAAGCCCTTATCAATTATTTTATTCTCATGAAATAATGTAGTTTTAGAGGTGCTTCAAGGAATAAATGCGAATTATTTGATTGGTAGATTAGATTTAGAAGAGTAAAATCTAAGATTTTGATTAATTAGAAAAGAATAGCATCTTTAAGTTGAAGTGAAAAATTTGAGAATCAGGAGATAATTATTAAAGTATTCAAAATATAATCCTCATAAAACTATTTCAATTAACCTATAGACTTCTCTATTTACTATTGCAGGTTATCATTGAAATACTCTGTCAAAACACAACTCTTCTAATTAAAGAATTACTTTATTAGTCATAATATGTTTCTTATTTATATATTAGGACTTTGATTTATATAAATAATAATCAATTAATAACTAAAAAGATGAAAATGAGATCCCTACTAGTAGTATTTTGCCTTGTTGCCATTTTGTTCTCAGTTGAGGCAAAGAAATTGAGCCTTCCAAAAGTGAATTTCGGCAAACAACATGTCAAAGGTGCCTCAGACATAGTATTCTAAGCTTACTCACTTGTTTAAATGCCAATCAAAATTATAGCCTGCACTTATGTCATCCCACAATTGGTTGGTACAATGAATCTTTCAGTTACAGCCCCAAAAACTCTAAAAAGTGTATGTGAAGATGGATTTAATGCCGAGTTAAAGAGAAACTACGGTATTGCTTGACTTAGAAGATTTAACTTAATGCTGCAAGATAGCATGATAAGGAATAATGATTAACTAAACTTATTTAGAAAACTTTAACTTAAAATCTCTTCACTTTAATTTTCATATTAGAAAATTTAATTAATAATTTCAATAAATGTACAAGGTAACAAAATTTACAAAGGATTTATCTTATATTAGGAAACCAAGGTCGGATCACATAGATTCTAGCATACTCAATCAACTTAAAACTAATAGAAGAGAGAGTCAATTATAGATCTTGCTCCTTTAGTAGATACCAAGATTAGAGTCAAATTCGTTGGTGGAAGAGAAATTGTCGGAGTATTAAAAGGAGCTGATCCTATTTGTAATATGGTATTGGATGATACCATAGAATTCTTAAGAGGTAAATATAAATACTCCATAGTAAATAAATGAATTAATGAATTTTAGACGCAAAGGATCAATATAATTTAACAGAACAAACAAGAGAATTAGGATTTTTAGTAGCTAGAGGTACTACAGTAAGTATCAATAATTAAAATGATAAAATTAAATTAATTTCAGGTATTATCAATCTGCAGTGAAGAAGGGGCCTAGACCAATATTGAAAATCCATACGCAGTTTAAGAATGAATGCCAACTTAACTTCACTCAAATTAATACCGCTAATTAGCTTGTAAATACATGATTATTATGCCTTAACAATACGTATTTCTTCCTTTAGGGGTTTTGGGGTTTTGGGGTTTTGGGGAGATCGGAAG